AGAGCATCAAACCGCTTTTAAAGGTCTATGGGTACAAAAATCTGAGCTCGCTGAACACATGGCAAAAACATAGCACTCAAAATTGTGACAATTAGAGGGAAAAGCTGGTTGAAAAGAATTCGTGAAATGGTGTCACCAGAAACCGAAGTAGGACTGCCACGGAAGGAAGACTATTGGATTATTTGACATCATACTATTCGTCACAGTATAGACAAAAGCGTATCCCATATTTATCATAGTTGCAAGACAGTCAGCCGAGGACCTATACATGCAAATCTACAATGACTCCAACTTTCGATGAGGCCAATTTGCGAGTCCCTTCTACTCTCCTATTCAAACAAGATGAAAGGTACTTCATCACCAGTAAGGGGAGAATTTACTTGCTGTAAAATGCAGACCTTAATAACATATTAGTATTATCACTCTATGTATTGGTTTTTGTCTCTGTTATTGTTACTATTATTGCTATTTTATCGTTATTGTTACTATTAGTCTGCAACACGAAAGCCCATCTTTCTCTCGTAAAGTCGTCACGACGTTGGCTTTATATGAGTTATATCCCAAAATAGACAAACAAAAAGTACAAAAAGTGGTCTGATTTTGTCATCGCAACTTGGTCGTGCTGTCAGGGCGAACTATTTGGACATACCTTGTTCTAAGTCCTCTAATATAGTAGCTATGATAATTATCAGCCAAGTCTCCTGTTGACTTGAAGAGTTATATATTGGTGCTAAGATAAGCAAGACTCACTGGCGATATGAAGAAAAACTGGGTTTCAAAGAATTCCTCAGTAATATATTGTGATATGACTTTCCATTTCGAAGAAGAAGTGAAGTGAAAGGAATTCGTGATGTGGTCTCACGGGAAACCGAAGGAGGATTTTCAGGTAGGGAAGACTGTTGAATCGTGCGAAGAGTTCCTCGGCTCACCGTCCTGCGACCCAGATGAAACTATGCTAAGCTTTCGTCTGTACTGTGAGAGACATCATCAGAGCAAGATTAG